AACGTGGGCACTATCCGACTTCAGTGATGGTTTGGTGGGGTATTAGCTATGAAGGAGTGACTGAGCCATACTGTTATGAAAAAGGTATCAAAACATCGGCACAAGTGTATCAAGATACCATTATTGAAAAGGTAGTGAAGCCCCTCAACAACACCATGCTCAATAATCAAGAATGGTCCTTCCAGCAAGACTCGGCGCCAGGTCATAAAGCTCGGTCTACGCAGTCTTGGTTGGAAACGAACGTTTCGGACTTCATCAGAGCTGAAGACTGGCCGTCGTCTAGTCCCGATCTTAATCCGCTCGATTATGATTTATGGTCAATTTTAGAGAGTACGGCTTGCTCTAAACGCCATAATAATTCGGAGTCCCTAAAAAAATCCGTACGATTGGCAGTGAAAAATTTTCCCATGGAAAGAGTGCGTGCTTCTATTAATAACTGGCCTCAACGTTTAAAGGACTGTATTGCACCCAAGGGGGTCTCCCTTCGAAGAAGCTTTTTATACTTTAAATTGTTTTATATTTATGTATTAAACTAACACACTGTAAAAGTAATAAATGCTATTTGCAATAGATTTTTTTTTATTTTTCTTTGTCTCAGTATTTATGGCAAGACTATGTATTTACTATACTACCTAGTCAGGTCAGAAATTCTGTCACATGTTTAATGTAAAATAATTGAAACAAGTTTATTCATTATGTAACCATTCATATACCAAAATGAACTTAACAAAACATAGATTCTTATGACACTAAAGTTTATTCAAAACGACCTCCGTGATTTTGAATACAGGCCTTCAATCTGCGCGGCCAGTCGTCTATCGCAGCACGAACGAGGTCCATGTCAATNGTTGCAAAAGACAAAGAGAGCAACGCCTTTTGATGGTGGACACTCCGATATCTTGACAGCAGCCACGTATTGAAGGATTATTGAGATGAATTGTATCTGTAATTGTTGTAAAGATATTTATTTACTGGCGACCCACCCTCTCTTCGCTTCGGAAACTTAATTTATGGATGTTATTATACATATAAATCTGCCTCTACAATAGCTCTATATATTAAAAAAAACCGCATCAAAATCGGCTAGTTTTAAAGATTTAAGCATACATAGGGATTTAAGGTCAGAGAGAGCGATTTTGTTTTATACGATGTAGTGATTAGACATCATGTAAACATTTACATTGGCGGTCTTAATGACTAAGGCATTCTCTACCAGTCAACTAAAGGCATTGCAGTGTAAATAATGGTAGGCGCATTGAAAATTATATTAAATTACAAATACATACACAATTTTTTATTTTATTTTTATTGCTTAGATGGGTGGACGAGCTCACAGCCCACCTGATGTTAAGTGGTTACTGGAGCCCATAGACATCTACAACGTAGACGCGCCACCCACCTTGAGATACAAGTTCTAAAGTCTCAGTATAGTTACAACGGCTACCCCACCCTTCAAACCGAAACGCATTACTGCTTCACGGCAGAAATAAGCAGGGCGGTGGTACCTATCCGCGCGGACTCACAAGAGGTCCTACCACCAGTAATTACGCAAATTATAATTTTGCGGGTTTGATTTTTATTACACGATGTTATTCCTTCACCGTGGAAGTCAATCGTGAAAATTTGTTGAGTACATATTTCATTAGAAAAATTGGTACCCGCCTGCGGGATTCGAACACCGGTGCATCGCTTCAACACGAATGCACCGGACGTCTTATCCTTTAGGCCACGACGACGACCAAATACCATTCATAAGTGTAAGTTCGTTGACTGAAGAGATGGTCTTAGGCCTTAAGTCCGCCACTATACTTTGCATATATTTAAACAAATAAATCTAATGTAAGCAAAAACAAAATATTTGATTGAACTCGAAAATACTCACTATTTGAAATTTAGTCATATATTTCTTCCACGTCAAATATTTTGCTACGCCCGGACCGAGCGCTGCCAGGCCATAGTATGAATACATGAAGACATGTACCAAAGAATTTATGAAGCCGATGTAGATGAGCGTGTGTGATGGCCAGTACTTCAGCAGTGCCCATGTAGCGATAACCATCACGGTGTGATGATACAAATGCAGGAACGTGATCTGGCTATACTTCTTTCGCAAAACGAAGAAAACCGTGTCCAGTAGCTCAGAGAATTTGGCTGTTAGATACAGATATGTTCCGAATATGATCTGAAAGTAGAATTTTTTTACTGGCGGTAGGACCTCTTGTGGGTCCGCACGGGTAGGTACCACCACCCTGTCTACTTCTACGTGAGGCGGTAACGCATTTCGGTTTGATGGGTAGGGCAGCTGTTGTAACTATACTGAGACCTTATTTACCAGTTTATTTTTTGTTCGAAGATTTAAAAAAAATGCATATTATTACCGTACCTGATTTCTCGAATTTTCTTCATTTAAATAACATTTACTCGGAACCAAACCCATCCTTCGTAAATCTAGAAAGAACTGAAACGTGGAAAATACATTTACGGTTATTTTTTAGTTCAAAAATTTGTAGGTGAACATAAATTCGAATTGGATTAGTGGAGACTTAAACTCCTTCTCCTGTTGATCTATAGCAAATCCCGCTACCAGTAATTGATGCTCTGCTCTACTGATCAGGTAATACGATCATCTTTTTATCGTCCCACTGCTCGCCATCGAGCCAGGGTTCATCCACATGGAAGCGTTTTTACTGGTAGGACCTCTTGTGAGTCCGCACGGGTAGGTACCACCACCCTACCTATTCCTGCCGTGAAGCAGTAATGCGTTTCGGTTTGAAGAGCGGGGCAGCCGTTGTAAGTATACTGAGACTTTAGAACTTATAAGGTGGGTGGCGCATTTACGTTGTAGATGTCTATGGGCTCCAGTAACCACTTAACACCAAGTGGGCTGTTGGCTCGCCCACCCATCAAAGCAAAAAAAAACAAAAAAAACACTGCATTTTGGGCGATTTTTTTTGCCACGTGAATTCGATTTTGTAATGGTCTTCCATCCACAATGTTGAGTTCTAAGACATGTCCTTAAAACATGGCTTGTGGAGAGCACTCAGTGATAAGTTGGACCCTTGGAACTGCTTGAGTCTATGAGCTTGAGATAATAAAAAAGGTTTGACGGAAACTTTCGGTTATGTTCAGAGTTATTTGCTCTGTTTAGAGGTAGTATCTTCACCATGGGCCTGATTCGATCGACTTAATAAAGAAAATAAGTTATAAGCATTTTTAATAGTTAAAGTATGTTTTCACATTATAAGTTAGTGATAAAAACTTACCCTCGCAACCAAATACCCGGATATAGCAACTTGTACGGCATTGTATGCTAATAGTACGAATGTTAATTTGTACGCTTCTCGCTTTCTCATGTATGCCGGGCCTATTTTAATAACGAAAATTAAGTAAATCGCTAAGACCGTGAGAACAGGGCTCACTGACCCCATCAGTGGTAGCTGGTCGATAACTGCAACTGAAAAGAGGAGATATTAGGATATTATATCGATTCGGATCGTTTGGAGCCTCTGGGTCTGCGGAGGGACTTCGGTTCCCTCTGTATTTTGTACCGTATGTTCCATGGGGAGTGCTCTGAGGAATTGTTCGCGATGATACCAGCATCTCGTTTTTACCATCGCACCGCCCGCCACCGGAGTAGAGTTCATCCATACTACCTGGAGCCACTGCGGTCATCCACAGTGCGTTTCCAGAGATCTNGGCCAGTCTTCGTGCCGGATGAAGTCGATTTCACGCGCCGCCAGCCAGTCTTGTGTGCTCTTCGCTCTATGAGCTGGCGCCGAATCTTGTTGGAATACCCAGTGACTGTTATTGAACATGGTATGAGAAACAGGTTCCACAAGGTTCGTCAGGACTGTATTTTGATACACAACTGCATTCGTTTTTACACCTTTCTCACACAAATGTACCTCTGTTAAGCCCCAATAAGAAACTCCCAACCATACCATGAGCGAGGATGGAAAATGACCTCGTTGGATACGCGGAATACGGTTGCTCGCTTCTTCACTACTGTGTGCGTACACCTTATCATTTTGTTTGTTGTAGCTCTCTTCTACGGTAAAAATTTTTTCATCCGAAAAAAGAATTTGCCGATATTTTTTTCCCGCGTACCGCTTCAACAAAGCGCGGCATATCTTCAATCTCAGGTCCATTAGACGAGCATTCAAACGATGTCCTGTTTTTCTTCGATATGCTCGAAGCCCTAAGTCTTTATTTAACACCCTTTTCGCCGTGGTTCTGCTTAACCCCATCTGAAGGGCCAACAGTTTCTGCTTACGTTTGGGATTTCTTTGAATTCGCGCCTTCACAGCTTTTATCACTGCTGGAGTCCTAAATGACCGAGGGCGACCACTTCTTGACCTGTCATCTATACTAGAGTCTTCATTGTATCGTTTGATGGTACGATAAACGAATCTTTTGGTTATATTCAAGTTTTTCAGTATGTTAAAAATTTGAATTGGCGCGTAACCGCAACGATGCATCGCAATAACTGCAACACGGTCTTCTTTAAGCGTCCACTCCATATTTAAAAATGAATAAAATTCTAAAAGTATACATTTTTATTTTCATGAACAATTCGAAATTCGAATTCAATAAACTTTTTTGTGGCCAGCATTCTAAAAGAAAAGTTTTTACTATGTGACAATACTTATGACCTGACTAGTTATATTATACTAACTAATATTATATATCTAATATCATAGGGTATCCTAGTTTTAGGCCAGATGACATAGTCTGGCCTGATCTGACCTGACCTAACCTGGTCTTTGGTTCATTACTATTATTACTTATTGAAAACCTTTTTAGGAAGAGATTATAAAGCTACGATAACTCAGTATGAAAGTAATCGAAAAATTTTACAGTTTTGTCTCGTAAACTAAACAAAAATATTACACTACACTTTTTTATATTTATTATAACCCTTTTTAATCTATAATCTACAGATTTTGTCCGTGAAACATTTAAAAAAAAACTTGTATTGCCAATTCTAATAATTTTGTATTTTAATCATATTTTTCGACGAAGCAAGCATTATTAACGACTTCTTCTGCAGCCTTCTTTGTCTTATTTGCACTGTAACTTTTCAAGTAGAAATTGAGGAAAAGCATCAGGATGAAAGCCGTGTTGCAAAAGACAAAGAGAGCAACGCCTTTTGATGGTGGACACTCCGATATCTTGACAGCAGCCACGTATTGAAGGATTATTGAGATGAATTGTATCTGTAATTGTTGTAAAGATATTTATTTACTGGCGACCCGCCCTCTCTTCGCTTCGGAAACTTAATTTATGGATGTTATTATACATATTTTATAAATCTGCCTCTACAATAGCTCTATATATTAAAAAAAAGCGCATCAAAATCGGTTGCGTAGTTTCAAAGATTTAAGCATTCGTAGGGATGGATATAAGGACAGAGAAAGCGATTTTGTTTTATACGATGTAGTGATTAGACTTCATGTAAACATTTACATTGGCGGTCTTAATGCCTAAGGCATTCTCTACCAGTCAACTAAAGGCATTGCAGCGTAAATAATGGTAGGCGCATTGAAAATTATATTAAATTACAAATACATACACAAATACCATTCTTAAGTGTAAGTTCGTTGACTGGAGAGATTGTTTTAGGCCTTAAGTCCGCCACTATACTTTTGTGCATATATTTAAACAAATAAATCTAATGTAAGCAAAAACAAAATACTTGATTGAACTCGAAAATACTCACTATTTGAAATTTAGTCATATATTTCTTCCACGTCAAATATTTTGCTACGCCCGGACCGAGCGCTGCCAGGCCATAGTATGAATACATGAAGACATGTACCAAAGAATTTATGAAGCCGATGTAGATGAGCGTGTGTGATGGCCAGTACTTCAGCATTGCCCATGTCGCGATAACCATCACGGTGTGATGATACAAATGCAAGAACGTGATCTGGCTATATTTCTTTCGCAAAACGAAGAAAACCGTGTCCAGTAGCTCAGAGAATTTGGCTGTTAGATACAGATATGTTCCGAATATGATCTGAAAGTAGAATTTGAATTGAGGAACTTCACAAACTGTTACCCCGGTAAGAGTAACGCCATCTATCGCCGAATAGTCGAACGAAAATCAAAGGATATAGTAGCATCTAGAACGCTCGAGATGTACAACGCCATCTATTGTCAGATAGCGGAAACACAATACTGGAATTGTGTGGAATATTCTCGACGATCCTAGGGATTTCGTCTCGACTATAAAAGCGTTACAGAGATTGCATGCAGTCAGTCAGTAATCGGAACTACTCGAAGAGAAACAGCGAACGGATCACCTGAAGCGAAGCCGAAGAAGCGAATTGAGAGTTTTAAAGTGTTTGTTGAGTGTTTTAAGTGTTCTAAGTTATAAATAGAGTTTTAAGTTGTTCTCCGGTACAATTTTTATTTATAAAGAGCTTACAGCCCGTTTATTGTTAAATAAAAACCGTTGTCCGTAGACACCATAATGTGAAAGACAGCACCCGCCATGAGACACGAGGTAAAATTTTCTCAAAGGTTTATTCTGCGTATTTATTATTAATATAATAATAATACATTTATAATAATAATGGCACAGATGGGTAATATAATAATTGTAATTAATTTCTTACAAATGTTTTGGTATAACTGTTAAATTGTGAGAATTGTGTACTAAATAAACAAATAAAAATAGTAATGTTGTCAATAAACTGTGAGATCTTGTTTCCAAGAACCCAAGTTACTTCAAATCGTTTAGTAGTTAAGTGTATCACATGAGCAATGTTTATTATTATGTTTTGCATTCCTATGTAACAAAATGTATTCCTAAATAGTACGATTTTGTTGTAAACGATACAAAGAGAATTCGAGTTAAGACTTAACTTGCAATTTATGACTTTAAATAAAAAAATAAAACAAATTGAAACCTGTATTCAAACAAATTGCTAAGTCACAACAAACTTTCAATTTCCCCTGGGAGCAAATAAGTTCAAATAAATATGTAATACAATTTAAAGAATAAGTATAGCACAGAATTCTAATCCGACAAAAACATCTTAGAAATCCGAAATGTCACAAACTACAGAGTGACAATAACAAAGTTGATGTTAAACTATAAAATCTAAGAAAATATTATGTGTAAATAAATAGCTATAAAATTATATTCAATACCTTTCATTCCTATGTTTGTTAATGGATTTTCATTTAAATGTATTATTTGTTTAGTATATGTTGACGGGTTCAACAAAAAAAAATTCGGAAACAGACCTTTCTGACATTTACTAGAAAAACTACGAAAACAAAAGGAAAATGTAATGCATAAAATTAATTTGAACGAGTGAGTGATTGTAAACTTGTAAACGTGGAGTTTTAAGCGAACTAGCTTGTTCGTTTTGAGGTCGAAAAAGAATTAGCCTGTGGAACCAGTATATGTCATTACCAAAATCCATTATTAAGCCCGCAACATGAAGCCCCTAAGCCTCGAGTCAACATTTTGTTCACGTGGTAACTAGTGAATGCCCTAACTCACTTCTACTGATTTCAGTTTTACTGTCAATCGTACTAAATATTTTTTTAAATTGTTGAGATCAATGGACGACTTCCTTGTGCGCCTTGTGTTAAGAGGTCAGCGGAGCCCATAGACATGAACCGAATTAATGCCGCCACCCACCTGAGAAGTCTCAGTTTTACAGTACAACGGCTACTCCGCTCTTCGAACCGAAACGCATTACCGCTTCATGGCAGAAATAGGCAGGGTGGTGGTGTCTACTCGTGCGGGGTCCTTACCACCAGTTATAACGCAAATTATAATTGTCGCGGATTTGATTTTTATCCACTATTTTCTTCCTTCTTGGTGGTAGTAATTAGTGTACATGTGTTAAGCACGTGTTTCATTATAAAAATTGGTACCTGCCTGCGGGATTCTAACACCGGCACATTCGCATCGCTCGATACGAATGCACCGGGCGTCTTATGCTTTATTCCACGACGGCAATTATTAGTCTAAAGCCATTATATATTTCAATACCTGTTATTTTCAGCACGAGATATCCCAAAATCAATAGAAAATATAATATAAAATAGTTTATTTTTTGTTCGAAGATAAAAAAAAATGCATATTATTATCGTACCTGATTTCTCGAATTTTCTTCATTTAAATAACATTTACTCGGAACCAAACCCATCCTTCGTAAATCTAGAAAGAACTGAAACGTGAAAAATACATTTAAGGGCTATTTTTTTGTTACTTATTACAAACGTCTTTAGATCAAAATTTTGTAGGTGAACATAAATTCGAATCGGATTACTGGAGACTTAAGTTCCGTCTCCTGTTGATCCATAGCAAGCCACGCTACCAGTAATTGATCCCACTGCTCGCCATCGAGCCAGCGTTCATCCACATTTACTGGTGGTAGAACCTACTGTGAGTCCGCACGGGTAGGTACCACCGCCCTGACTATTTCTGCCGTGAAGCAGTAATGCGTTTCGGTTTGAAGGGCGGGGCAACCGTTTTAACTATACTGAGACCTTAGAACTTATATCTCAAGGTGGGTTGGCGAATTTAGGTTGTAGATGTCTATGGGCTCAAGCAACCACTTAACGCCAGGTGGGCTGTGGGCTCGCCCACCCATCAAACCAATAAAAAAAAAGTCTTCCATCCCCAGTTTTCCCTGAGTTCTAAGACATGTCCTTACTCAGTGGTAAGTTGGACCCTTGGAACTGCTGGCGTCTATGAGCTTGAGATAATAAAAAAGGTTTGATGGAAACTTTCGGTTATGTTCTTTGCTCTGCTTAGAGTGTCTTCACCATGGGCCTGATTCGATCGACTTAATAAAGAAAATAAGTTATAAGCATTTTTAATAGTTAAAGTATGTTTTCACATTATAAGCTAGTGATAAAAACTTACCCTCGCAACCAAATACCCGGATATAGCAACTTGTACGGCATTGTATGCTAATAGTACGAATGTTAATTTGTACGCTTCTCGTTTTCTCATATATGCCGGGCCTATTTTAATAACGAAAATTAAGTAAATCGCCAAGACCGTGAGAACAGGGCTCACTGACCCCATCAGTGGTAGCTGATCAATAACTGCAACTGAAAAGAGGAGATATTAGGATATTATATCGATTCGGATCGTTTGGAGCCTCTGGGTCTGCGGAGGGACTTCGGTTCCCTCTGTATTTTGTACCGTATGTTCCATGGGGAGTGCTCTGAGGAATTGTTCGAGATGATACCAGCATCTCGTTTTTACCATCGCACCGCCCGCCACCGGAGTAGAGTTCATCCATACTACCTGGAGCCACTGCGGTCATCCACAGTGCGTTTCCAGAGATCTTTTTTGCCACGTACCATCCGGCTATGGAATGAGCTCCCCTCCACGGTGTTTCCCGAGCGCTATGACATGTCCTTCTTCAAACGAGGCTTATGGAGAGTATTAAGCGGTAGGCAGCGGCTTGGCTCTGCCCCTGGCATTGCTGAAGTCCATGGGCGACGGTAACCACTCACCATCAGGTGGGCCGTATGCCCGTCTGCCTACAAAGGCAATAAAAAAAAATAAAAAAAAAATATTATATACCACGATCTAAACCATGTTTTTAGAGTTGTATGGATAAATTCTTAATAACTATACGAAGAAATTGGCGTCATCATATCGTTTTGCATATTCATTACCTGAGCCGACCTTGACCTGTTCAAAGTTTAAAGAAGTTAAATCGTTTTATTTGCCAATTTTCCAGGTAAGATTTCTTTTTTTTTATGTCGTATGACCTCACTCTCCGGCTGGTTTTTACCTAGCAGGGTATTTAAGAGCATTATCAGTGCCGTCTAGGTGGGCTGCGCATAGCCCGACTACTGAGGACCCGCCGGTTTGATCTCCCGTGGGGCAAGTTGGTAGGAAGACATACGCTCGGTACAAAACTCGCTTAATTGGGCCCAGCCTATTTTGGATGAGTTCTACCCCATCCGAAACGCGGAGGTGGGTTATAGAATCACAGGGGATGTAAGTTGGTTCATCTCCGACGGCAACCAATGCAGGGGCGGAAATCCAGAGACTTACTTGTTCAATGTTTATTTCTTACTTAAATATTAAGAAGTGTATTTGTTGAGAGGTTTCGTAATTCATGTCGGTGAATTGAAAAATTAATTAAGTTACGAATCCATATATTCTATTTTTGTTATTCTTATGGTTTCGACCTCTAGACTATAATTTTCAGATTGTCTTGAAGATAAGTTTGTTTTTGATGCTCGTACAGATATCTGTTTAGAATTAATGTTCTGTGAAGTAGAAGACAAATGTTCAAGACAAATCAAGACTAATGTTATCAAAGTTGAAACGAGGGACCTTGTGGCGAATTTAATTACATTAGACACAAAAGTAGGGCCAATCGGCAAAACAAGGGTAGGGAGACCGAAAAGTCGTTGGGCTGACGATATAACCGAATGAATAGGGATGGAACTGGCAAACTATCAGCACGGACAGAGATGACTTAAAAGGACTGGACGAGGCTTTCACCCGAAGAGGGGTATTATTCAATAGCAAAACTAACTTTTATTTACATTTAGACAATAATCAAAACATCAATTGCTAACTAAACATTAACAAACAAACACCACATTCGAAATAAAAATTAAGGATAAGGAAATACAGGCTATTTTATATTTATTAGACACTAGCGACCCGCCCTCGCTTCCCTTCGGAAACATTAAAACACACATGAAACCAAAAAAAAAAAAATTAAAAAAAGTAGCCTATGTTCATCAGGGACAATGTCGGCTTCTAATGGAAAAAGAATTTTTCAAATCAGTCCAGTAGTTTCGGAGCCTATTCGAAACAAACAAACAAACAAATGTTTCCTCTTTATAATATTATAGTATAGACAAAAGTTAGATAAGCTGTGTGTGTGATCGAATTAGTAGTTATTTATATATTAAAATACTGCGACGTTTAGGCAATGAAGTATTAAATTTTATTAATAAAATTAAAACTGTCCCCAGGAATAAGCTAAAATTGATTTTCAATTATGTAAGCTAAAACAGAAATCGCCCGTCCACCATCGATTTCCACGGGCCATCGACTGGTCAGATTCTTGATATTGGGAATAAGCCCGCCCAATAAGCTAGCTATTCTCAAAAACGAGATAACGAATCGTCCGCGTAATATTTGACGTAGAGTTCTGGGAAAACCTGGGAGGCTCTCCGATGGAACAGAAAAAGAAACATTAACCTCAAAATATATATACACAAAATATACTCACATTTGCTCTTATTTAAATCCCAATAATTCGATTTTGTTCCGAACATAGTGCCGTCCATGACTGAAAAATAACAGTTTTATTTTTTTATAAATAAAGTATAATAACCTAAAAACCGCTATGCTTCTCAAAGAGATATTTTTGACTGAATTAAGAACCTGCCGCTATCGTAACGATGCAGTTATCAAAGTGCCGAACAGGAAATGTAATGTTCGTCATTAGTGACTGGTTGAGGAGTAATTATGTGATTATGAATTATTTGTTTATTATCATAGAAAACAATAATAATAACCGAGAAAAAATCACGCATGGTCGCCCGGCCCCAAAATAGGATTCCCTGTATTATGGAAACTAGAGACTGATATACATTCTTAAATACGTTTAAAGTACCTATTATACATAAAAATAAATCCCCCAGACATTAATGCAAGGCACTAATGGTACCAATTGCAAGTCTACCATCAATATCATTTTAAAGGGAAGATTATCATTATTAATTCCATCTGATATCTCAAGATCGGTGGTAGGATTTTATTATAATATAAGTATTTAGCATATGCCTGAATCACGCTACGATATCTTCATGATACGAGGGCGGGATGATAAGTAACTAGCCTCTACTATTTAAAAAGTTAAACTTTAAAAAATATATATTTCATTTTTAAATTCGTATCTCTGGCTACCTGTGTTCTAAATTTGAATTTGGTGGCGTGAAAATTTTATTGATTTTTTGTCATTTGAAAATATATTTCGTCAAGTGTTTTCAAAATGGATAAAATTGAACAAAGAGCGGTGATAAAGTTTCTTCATATGAAGGGCACGAAAGGGAAATATATCTATGACGAGTTAAATAATGCTTAGGGTGAATGTGCTCCTTCTTATGCCACAGTAAAAAACTGGGTGGCTGAGTTTGAACGCGGTCGTACATGTGTCCAAGATGAAGCCTGCCCCGGACGTCCAAAAAGCGTCACGACTCCAGAAATGGTCGTGAAAGTACATGATATGGTTTTAACAGATCGACGATTGAAGTTATCTGAAACAGCTGATACTACAGGTATCTCAAAAGACCGGGTACATCATATCCTAAGTGAGGAATTAAATATGAAAAAGTCATCGGCCCGTTGGGTGCCGCGATTGCTTACGCACGATCAAAAGAGGATTCGGGTGCAAAAGTCAAAAGAATGTCTGGACCGTTTCAGAGTAATAATGCCGATTTTTTACGTCGATTTGTAACAACAGATATAACATGGGTTCGTTATTACACGCCAGAATCAAAAATTCAATCAAAACAGTGAACGCAATCGCGATGCCCGGCTCCAAAAAAGCCATGGCTGTAAAGTCGGCTGGAAAAGTGATGGCTTCCGTCTTTTGGGATGCAGATGGGATCTTGATGATAGTTTACCTTCCTAAAGGTCAAACGATTAATGGAGGATACTACGCTAATCTTCTAGATAATTTTCATCAGTGTATTCAGCAAAAACGACCAGATTTGGCGAAAAATAAATCATCTTCCGCCAAGACAGCGCTAGGGTTCACACATGTGTTAAAGCTATGGCAAAAATCAACGAATTGAAGTATGATTTGCTGTCCCACCCACCTTATTCGCCTGATATAGCGCCATCAGACTTCCACTTATTCCCTAAGCTCAAAACTTTTTTGGGCGGACAGAAATTTACCACAAATGATGAAGTCATAGCCGCTGTAGAGGAGTATTTTGCAGGCCTCGAAAGAAATCATTTTGTGGAAGGCATTACTGCTTTAGAACGAAGATGGAATAAGTGCGTAGAGGTTCACGAAGACTATGTCGAAAAATAAAATTAATTTTATCACGAAAAGTTAAGTGTTTTATTGTTAGGCTAGTTACTTATCATCCCGTCCTTGTACATATATATTTACAAACAATGACATTACGACTATCTGTGTTGATTACCACCAAACTAGATTTATAAGTTTGTCTGTTGACTAAATAATTCTCAATCTTATAGATTTGTCATGGATCAAATAATATGTAATCTGTACACGAGATGTTAGCTGTGTCAATTTGCATTTGAAATGTTGAGTTCAATTTACATAATTTCGTGTGAATTTTAGAGCATTGGAATGATGACTATAAAATCCATTGTGGCAAAAGTTACTAGAATAGGGCTTAAAGCGTACATTATCACCGCAGTACAATATAGGAATTAGGGGGAAAATGTATGAATTTTTACTGAGTTATGAACATTTGTTTTTATTTTTATTTTTCAAATATAATATTTTGTTTATTTTTAATTGTAACAGTATTTATGGCCAGACTAAGAATTAGTATTTGAGCTCTCGGTCCGTATGTTATTATAAATCGGGAATTTAATAGAAATATCAGAACAAAAAGTTAACGTTTCGCTTTCAATTCTTTAAACACCTCAAATTAAGCTAAAGAATTAACTAGGAACTAACAAGCTACAAAATAAAAGAAAACCTTCATTAATTCAACACCAAAAAAAAACAGAAATATACATACTGGAATTATGTCTGTAAGCTATAGAAGCGCGCACGACTGTGGTTAAGTTAAACGTCTATCTCTTGTAGATGTAGTTGGCGACCTGATCTGGTGACGATGGTTCGGTACGACCGAAGGATCAAGGCCGTGAGGCGCGGGTCACCAGTGCGTCGACAGAGATCCGAATTGCTTCAAGTGCTGTGTGTGTAGTGAGTGTATCTTCCGCGAGTGTGTATCTCCCGAATTGCCGTACTGACGTAGTGAAATTCCGGGCAGCGAAATTCAGGTTCATTGACCAGATGGGTGTATTGACACTTACTTTTTTTAACATCTGTTAATTGCGGGTGGGTGTCAATCAGCCGGGTAGATGCGTAACCATTTTTATTTTGAATGAAAATAGGTCGACGTTAGCGCCATCCGTGTCCGTTCCCAGATCCTCCCCGGCCCTTCGGGGTTGGTGGGGCCCTGTCTAATACCCGAATTATAGGTAGCAGCCAGGATAGCCAGGAGTACTGTGCCTACGTTTTTGCCCAGATAGATTTAAATTAGTAGTAGTTTAGTTTTAGTTTGGTGATTTTGGTTCACACTTTTTCGTTTTTCTTTTTATTTATTTTTGATGTGAAACATCTATAGCCGCACTTAAAACCGATTTCTGGCGTGGCGACGCATGCCGTGGCGACGTACTATAGTGTATACTCCGTAGTGTATACAGTGTTGTTTACTACAGTACACCTAACCTGTGTTTTACTTGAAAACAAATTATTTTTTCGTAATATTTTATTTTATCATTATGACATATTTAGTTCCTATCACAATCTGTTCTTCTCTGCATATTACTTTTACAAAATAATGTCGATGTTTCACATCTGCCGCCGTTACGCCATTTCGCTATTACGTTCTGTTAATTTTATTATTCTAGTATTAATGAAATTTCAAATCATACGATTTCAAACATAATGGGTGCAAAAGGGTTTTTATTTATTCCCCTTTATTTTCTAACCATAGCTTTTATACTCATCTAACCATTAACTACTATTAAATACCACTGACAGCGAGGTATATCACGTAGTCTAATAATTATATCCATTATCTATTAACCGATAAATTTCCGTTCATATTAACATAACTCAAGTAATTATTACTTTATTACTCCAATTCTGATAACCACGCTATCTACCCGATGGAGTGATCAATCTGTTGACTTCGCGAGTGGACGCAACACTTGCTTTTAACTAATTAATAGCTTACTTTCTTAAGCCATTTATTGCCTATTAAATTGCATGTAGTAATTTCGCACCATCTATTTGGTGACATGTGTTTATTAGAATTGTTTAATACAATTTAACGACAACTCTGTAACGGTTTTTTCTTTTATTGATAATTTAACTTAGCTTCAAACAGATTGAATCTTATTTGTACATTAATTTACTAAACCTTATCATTATTTAATATTAACAACTATTTAATACTACTTAATTAATGTTACTTGTACAAAATTTTCAAATAGTTACTTTATTTTTATTTTACAGTATTTTTTACTTTCTTACTTTACTTTTTTTACTTAAAGGTTAAACTTTCGGATGAAACTCGGGGTTTTATGAGAGGGCGTCGTGAAAATCCAACTGTCACTTTATCAGAATACCGTGCATTCAATAAAAAAAATTAACATACTGATACGATACGACCTTCGATGCTCCAAAACACGCTCTATAGAGAAAACGATCGAGCAAAATCTGGGGTCGAAAGTATTCGTGCAATCTTTGGGGAGGAGTCACTTAACGAAGTTGATTATATCCGGTGGAGGAGTCGCTACTTCTAAGCCTGAGATTTTGTCCGAGGTTGAACACTATTATAGCCAGCTATATGCTTCGCATGTTTCTCGTACTGATCCCGAAAATGACGATTCAAGAGCTACTTCGATGCGCCACTCTACCGAAGACTTGCCGGAAATTAGCCTTAGCGAAAATAGGATGGCTTTTGGACAGCTTAAGAATGGGAAAGCCCCTGCAGAGGATGGAATCACGACTGAGCTTCTGAAAGCAGGTGGCACACCTGTATTGAAGGAGCTCCAAAAAATCTACAATTTGATTCTATTCAAAAGGAAAACTCCAGAGGCGTGGGCTAGGAGCGTAGTGGTCTTGTTTTTAAAAAAGGTGACAAAACCCTGTTGAAAAATTATCGCCCCATATCCCTCTTGAGCCACATTTACAAGCTGTTTTCAAGAGTCATCACAAACCTTCTCGCGCTAGACTCTATGAATCCCAGCCACCGGAGCAGGCCGGGTTCCGAGGAGGATACAGTACCATAGACCACATACACAAAATAAGGCAGATTATACAGAAAGCCTATGAGTATAATCAGCCCCTGTGCTTAGCTTTCGTGGACCATGAGAAGGATTTCGACTCTATTGAAATCTAGTCAGTTCTAGAATCCTTGCAGCGTTGCCAAGTAGACTGGTGATACATCCAAGTGTTGAAATGTTTTTACAGCGCCGCAGCTATGACCGTCTTATTCCGGAACCGGCAGTCTGAACACATCTCTCTGCATCGAGGAGTGAGACAAGGGGATGTTATATCCCTCAA